AAGCAGCTGGCGCAGAGTAAGAGACGGAGCGAGCTGGAGCCGAGTAAGATACACTAGGAGCTGAAGCAGCGGCCGAGTAGCTTGGCGCTGAGTAGGACACGGCAGGAGCTGGCGCAGAATAGGAGACACTTGGTGCCGAAGCAGCTACCGAGTAGCTTGGCGCCGAGTAAGAAGCATGTTGTGTGCTGGCCGCTGGAGGTAGGTACTCTGAAGAAACTGAGCTAGCAGCGCCTTGCGATGGCGGCAGGTAAGTATTGCTCAGGTGGCTGACATCGGCAGCAACGCAGGCAAAGACAGCAAATACGATGGCAGCAAAAAAATTCTGTAGGAAATGAGAAAAAAGAAAGATTTGTATTAGAAAGAAAGGAATTTGGAGGACCGAAATTTCCTTTAAGAGCACTTTCTTTTTCGTTCCTTAAATTTTCGAAAAGAAATTTTAGCACTGCTTATATTTATTCGCATTTATTTATTTAATTAAATTCTCAGCAAAGTTATTTTTCAAAAGCCGCCCTTTGGAAGTTATGCCCAAATAGTATACACTTGACACTTCACACTAACCATTTTGAATATATGTAGATCCCTGTTGTCTGCACTTCACTCAATCAAGCGATTCAAACTAATACCTAACTACTGCTCGCCGGCATATTTATATGCATTTCGCCGCCTTTTGTTTAATTTTGCAGAATAAGCAGACGAATGACTTTACCGGTACTGGTTCTTATGCTAATTTTAAGCAGTACGCAATGCCGTACTAGCTAATATCTTGTTCTAAAAAAAATCCAAAAAATCCCGATAAATTAAAATTCGACTAATAATCTGCATTGTTATTAAGGAAAAAAGTATACTAAAATANGGCTTGGATTCCATTAGTTGCTATCAACTAACAAATTTGCGCTGTACAGTTGCGGTTTGTAGTTTCAACGCGTCATCACCAGCTTTGGAAAGAACTACATTTTAGCAAGAAATCATAAAAAACTAATACCCATAAGTATTTACGTAAATATGTAGATATGTACATATGTGTACTGTATTGATTTATGCCTTTTTTCTTTCATCGTGTTTTTTTTTATTCTTTTATGTTTCCATTATTAAATAAAGATTATCATAACCATGTTTGTATGTAAATGTTATTGTTTGAAATTTTTTCGTGTGGTCAGAAATGATGTGTGTTCAGTTTCTACTGAAAACCCTGGAACGG